GAAGGAAGGAAGGAAGGAAGGAAGGAAGGAAGGAAGGAAGGAAGGAAAGAAAGAAGAAAGAACCCACATAAAGTGAAAGGCAGCTTTGTGGTGAAACAAAGTGACATTAGAAGGAGAAAATCAAAATGGAACAAAGTCAGTATATTAAAGTCAGACAACATGTAATTTGAATTTGCAGTTATGGTAAGAAATTATAAAGGCAAAGGAAGCAACCTATCAAGTATGTATCTGTCACCCAGTCAGCTATACAACACAGCTCTTTCCAGAAACAAAACTGATAAAATCCTAGGAGATTTTGACAGACCCTAACATGGAAGGAAGACTGTCCAGCAAGGCCTGGAAGGCTGAATAGAGAGGGCAAAGTGCTGTAGGGAAGGATGCAGGAATTATATATACATGGCACTCTTGTGTGGCAGGACAGTTGATAGTTTTGACAATGAAAGAAACTTTCTGTATATAATCTTGAGGGAGGGACAAGGTCTTGGAGAGTAAAAAGATAAAATTTACTATTCTTATTTTTAATTACTACTCTACTATTGAATTTTAATTTGGAAGGAACCAATGTAACAGAAGTCATAGGGTCAGCCTAAGGCTTCTTACATATTCATGTGAACAGGTGTTTAGCTTAATATGGGAGAGAGAAGCTACATTCTTCAGCAGAAGGGGACATGAACACTGGACAAGGGGGTGTATTGTCTCCATGAGAGTCCACTCAAACAGCTTTGCCTTTTCAAATATGGCCAAGATGATCTATGTGGCTTTGAGGAAAAAAGACCTTCAGCAGCTGAAGCAAGAGCTGTGATAGATCCCAGTGACCATCACCACAGCAGGGCCTACCCCTGCTCCTTGTGTTCTCTCTCCTCTCCTCCCTTCCTTATCTCCTTTCTCCTTCCTTCTTTCTCGCCTCCCTTCCTCCTTCTTCCTCTCCTGCCCTTCCCTCCCCTTCATTCCCCTCCCTTCCTTCTTTCCTTCTCTCTTTCTCCTTCTTCCTTCCACCAATTTAAGCACTATGAGCCAGGGTGAAACAGATCAGATCAGTACCCTAGACAATGGAATCTCAATTAAAAAAAAACCAACAAATGGGATTAATCAAGAGACAGTGGCTTGTGACCACCTCTAGTTGTGAGCTTCCTGGAGGCAGGGGAATGCCCTCACTGAGCTAAGAAGGTCTGTCTATCAAATTGAACTTTGAATAATTGTTGGTCTGAAAACTTAATCAGTTCTTTTATTTTGTCTTTTCCTGCTTTGTTCTTTTCTTCCTCCCTTTCTCCATCCCTCCTTTCCTTTCTTTGTTCCTTCCTTTTCTTATTTCATTTTATTTTCAAGAAAGATTCTCACTACATAGCTTAAACTGGCCACGAACTTATCTTCTGACTTTTCCTCTCAAGTGCTCAGATAGTGTGTGCCACCAGCCCTATAGCTCTTTCTTTTTTGACCTGCCCATTTTTTCCTATGAAAAGGATCTCCCTGGGAACATCAAGAGACTTGAAGAACAAGTCCATAGACTCTCTTTTAAACCCTGTGTCACATTAAAATACCATTTAGCAGAAGTCTAAGCTGAGAATGATTTGGTTTGGAGGTACGTTTTTTCTGATATTACTTTCTCTTTTTACTAAATACCTTTAAGAACTGGCTGAGAGCTTAGCATGCTCACTTAACTGAACACCACAGAATACCCACAATGTCCCCATGACTCTTCAATCTCAATCTAGGTGTCTGAAAACAATGAAGATGTATCATGGATACAAGTAACTCTGTAAATTGAGCATTTGGGTAATCACTTTGACAGACTTACCTGACATCTGAGTAATTTACAGTAATGAGAAGATGCTACTGGTAAAATGTGAGCTTTCCCTAAACCAGGGAACATTGGTCTCTGGTTGATTTGTTATGAAATAGGAGTTAAAATTCTGTGTTTGTGGGTGTTTGTATGTTGTGTCTATGTGTGGGTGTTTGTATGTTGTGTCTATGTCTATAGATGTGTGTGTGTGTGTGTGTGTGTGTGTGTGTCTCAGAATCAGGTAAGATTTCCCAATGTGTTTTGTTAGTGGCTAAACTACTAGAGGATGTGCTTTATTTAATTTTAATGGATATTTATTGAAATTGTCCTATGTTATTAGCATTATAAAATAGAGCCCTTTATCTCACTTAAACCTTTCTTTACCAAGCACGCCATCTGAAAATCACCAGTTATCATCTGCTTCCAACAACATAGAATCTCAGAGAGATCTTTGCAGCCAAACAGGCAATGGTTCTGTCTGCCCATTCAATTAGTTAAGCAAACTGACCGAGCTTCACTGACAAAGCAGTGATAATACTCTGTGATAATTACAGGGGGTGTTTTCACTTCACACCAGTTGGCTGCATTTAATCCCCCACCAGGCATCACTCAGGCAATCAACAAGATACTAGGAATTAAGGGTGGCCATGGCTACCAGGATGAGGATGCTAAATCTGGAAGGAGGCCTAGGGTTTGTTCTCAGCTGCTTTGGACACTGCCCCTCTTAAGTGCAGTCTCACTCTGTATCCCATGTCCCCAAAGGAGACAGCACCAACAGAGACCCATACCAGCATTCCTTCCAGTGAAAGACAGGTGGAAATAAGGCCATCAAAGTAACTCTCTGCAAAGGGAAACATAAATTTAATAATCACAAATAAAGTTCTGCCATATACTTTAGTTGCCACAAATGACACGAAACCAGATCAAAAACAATTTTTTCAGAGTTTATTAGGAGAGGTGCATAACAGAAAGCTCAAAGTATGACAAAGATCCTACTTCTTATGAAGACCTCCGCAGAGGGGAGACCCTCTCTCAAGTCTCAGAAAGTCGCGACCACCCAGTAATCTACTCGAGACACCATATACCGGAGCAATTGCGAGGTTATTTATTAGGGCGTGACAACTAGCTGCCGGTCAATTCGCATGCCCACGCAGGAGCTGAATTGACCCCGACTGCCAGTTTGAGGGGTGTTTTTAAAGGGAAAAACCACAAACCAAGGAAATGAGGAGGGGGTGAGGGGGTTGCTAGGGTGGTATAACATAAAAATAGTGGAACATTCCAAAGGAACCCAACCTACATGAGTCAGGATCAGATGAAAACTCTCTGTATACTTATCTTTCTCAAGAATGTAGTCCTGCCCTGTCACTTCCGCCTTGCCCTGTCACTTCGGCCTTGCCCTGTCACTATGGTTCTCAGCTTGGTTCCACCTGACTAAATTGCATTCTTTCCTTTCTCTTTGCGGGTCGGCCAGTTCCAGTAGTGGTGACTGGTCTTTCCACATTCCTAAAGAAAGCCTAAAGAATATTTTATATCTAAAAAGGATTCTATATACCCAGTATCCATAACTTTTCCCTCTACACTTAAAGGCAGTCCTGTGTCTTCCCTCAGAATGTTATGTTGTAGCTCTAAGGAGGGGTGTGACCCGTGAGCCTTCCTTCCCCACATACTGGGCAACAGTCACTAAAAGACTAAAGTCATTCCTGCCTGAACATCCCACAATTCTAGGATCCATGAAACAGATTTCAAACACACATATTTTTAAATATTTATGTTCTTACTGAGGGCTTGGGGTGAGATTACTAACATTTACAATAACCCCTGAAAACAGGAAACAAGACTGACCACCACACAATTCAGGCTTAACCCCTGATCTGCAAACGAACTTCAGCTTGGAGAGGGGGTGGAGTAAAAATGTGGAAAGGAGCCACTTGCCACAATGCACGTAAGATGGGAAGGATGAACCATCCAGGGTCCCCACCTGAAATAGATGGGTACTGTCAAGAACATGTCCAAACATGATGCAGTTCTCAACAAGCCCTCGAGTTAGGGGTCATCGTGGGGTATATAGTTGTTGACTCCATGAAGGATTAAGGTGTGTCTGTCCCCCGTTTTGGTTGATAGGTTTCATGAATCACACATAATCAAAACCTAGGTTTAGGAGTGGGGGAAGGGACAGATGTTTTCAGGATTTCTATTTCAGATTCCCATGCTAAATCTATTGTTAAAGGACATGGAAATATGCAGGGGCATTAAACCATTTTGCAGGTGCTAGAAAGCAATGCTTTCCTGTTTTCCTAATTCAGACAATGGGGAAGCTAAGAAGAAAAATAATAGGAAAAGGTTTTCCTATATTTGCTTTCAAAAATATGTTATTTTGAACAGAGTAACCTTTTTTCCCCCTTTTTTGGTCAAATTTCATCTCTGCTCCTTTAGTTTGACCAGAAATATTTATGGGAAAAGAGGGGCGGAACAAAACGACCTAATGATCCTATCCACCTATTGACAGTTTGGTTGGTGATAACAGTCCGCACAAGGGCTCATGGTTAGGAACTCAAAGAGGAGGAAAACTTCTGAAGGAGAAAAAGAATTCTTCCTAGGCAGCTTGCCCTGCACAATGAACATGTACTCAGAAGTATTTGCGTTTTATTCCACATTTTTCAGTGCTCTGGGGAAGGCATCAGGATAGACTCTCCCAGAAGCTTGCTGGGTTTTCCCTGGGTAAGAAGCTGAAGGAAAGCAGCCTGCTTATCTTCTGTCTGCTCCTCTTCTTTCTGGCCTTTTTGCCCTCAGTCAGACCCAGGTGGGATTCGTCCAGTTACCGTCATTAATTAAACACCACGAGGATACACTGCACCACGAGGTGGTGATGACAGTGACCATGATGATGGTGGTGGTGGTGGTGATGGTAATAATGATGATGAGTGGGTCTCCACAGCCAGAAAGTGCATACATTTGGGTTTTCATCAAAGCCATGCTAGACATCAGGGAATATTAGGACTAGACTTCCTTTGCAAATAGTGTTAAGTGCTCCCTCCTGAGGCATTTCTTTTTGAGTAGTTTGTTTTTTTTTTTAACTCCTCAAATTACTGGGGGTGGGGTGGTATTGCTTCATCTATCTTTAATAATGAACAAAAATAATGCGAGGTACCAGGGGTATAGGGGTCCTGGAAAGCTAGTGTCTAACATACTTAGGCACTGGCTTCCATCAACAGAACCACATGAAATACAAAAGGCAATGATAGCCACCTGCAATTCAGTAATAAGAAGGCTGAAGGCCTGAAGGTATGCCCCTCCAAAATACAGTTTTTCCAGGTTTGAACTTAAGGAAATTCTGTTGCCAAGAAGCGCTTTCTCTGGTCCTCACAGGCAGAAGAGTGTCTCTGGCTCACTGACTTTTTGAGTAGGGAAGGCATAGCCTAACACTGTTGGTCCAGTGGAAGTTCACTTATTTATTGCTTGGCCTCTTAGATGGCCTAACTCAGAATTTTCGAGTCCCAAGCATGAGGAGGGCAAGAATATATGTGAGAATAAAGCACCCATTTAGGAACAGGGAGTGGCTCCGTTGGCTTTGCCACATGAGGCATGGTTCTGCTGAAGGCTTTGGCAGGTCAGTAGGTGAGGGAGCTCTGCCTCCATGCGAGGGGTCCATGCTGAAAGCACACTTTGAGAAAATATGTTCCTCATCATGCCCTTCCCTGTTGTGGGTCCCACAGAGTGGATGCTGTACCCCTGGAGTGTTGGAAATGGAGCTTCACATCTACTCCCTACGTCATCCTGGTCAGTTTAAGTCCTACACAGCAGCCTGAGAGGAGGCCAAGCAAGGCTGTGGGGAGCCTAGACTCAGTTATCTTCCTCACGTCAAGCCATAAGGTGAGTAGTTGAAGGCCTGGAGGTAAAGGGGATGCACTCAGGTTCATGTCCATGTATGCAGACACTGCCATGGATCTAAACTCATCTGAATGGCTGGTACTGGTTTCCTTGTAATGGATTAGCTGCCAATCTCAATTATTGCCAGGGATCAAGTTCGAAACACCCAAATTTCAGCTGAAAGCCAGATGGTGAGTTGATTTTTAAATGCACACGTTTCAGGCACCCCACTGAACTCAATCTTTTCCCCATTACTCTCCACCGTGGGTTTTCAAAGAGAGAAAGAAAGACTGATGAATAAAAATATCTCCATTTTAAATTGACCCCCCCCCAAAGAAAAGGATATTTCCCTAAGATATTTCCAAGGGCCTTGAATCTGGTTGTTACTAATCTTCACTTCCTGAATACTAACTTGAGGGATCATTGCTTTTGACAGTAGAAACAAAAAGGACACTCTAGTCTGAGAACAAAGACTCTGATGCTAGCTCATGATGGAGACACATTCCAAGTCTCAGTCTTTCAGATAGCAGACAGCTGAGACAGGACCTGCCAGAGACACTGAAGTGACTCACCAGTGCTGCCCTCCAGGTCCCAGACAGACCTGTGCAGCTGCACCACCATTACTCGCTGCAAGTTTAAGGGACACTTTTACAAATGGACACTTTGAAATAAACTTGTCAATCGTAGGGTGGCTCTAAGCAGTTTTAACGGTTGGAAACTTGTTAGCTGTTTTTTCTTCCCATTTCCCTTTCCCCTGTATCTCCATTTTTAAGCATAAAAACCCCAAAATAACAAAAAAGAGAACTTTCTTCATGACTAATCTTTGATTCGGTATGTGTCACGCTCACAAAATAGAGCAGGAGTCCTCCAGATGTACTTTTAACTGTGAAGAGGGCTAAGCTACATTTCAATGGGAGTATTTAAAACAGAGCCCATCACCTGACTCCTCTCCTTGCATTCAGATGAAAGCATCCTGAGCCTACAGTCCCAGCTTCCCAGTTAGAGATGGTGTAAAGAGTGACAAGATGCTCTGCAGTGGGCTTGGGGCCTGTGCTAGCTCAAAGACAAATTGATCTTGGGGTTTTGTCATTGTTCCTCAATAGTCAAGTGTGTGTTAGGATCAGTCCATTCAGATACTTCCATTCAAATAGCTGTTAGATCAATCCTTGCCTGTCTCCCTCTGGACTATGCTTTTACCAAGACTTGCCTGAAGTAACTTTCCAGCTTGCAACTTTACTTGCCCACAAACCCAAGGCTATCAGAAAATTCTGAGTGAGGGGATACAAAGTCTAAACTTCCTATCTGCTTGCTCCCTAAACAGTTGGTTAAACTTCCTCTCATTCTGACAGTTTCAACAATACTCAGGGGGTGGAGGAGGGATATGGAGGGGAAATGCCAGAAGGCAAATGTACACAAAGGCAACCATCCTGGAAAAAGTCCCTATAGGAAGGGTAGAGCATTCTCATCTAGTTAAGTTAGCTGATTGGTTTTGCTTTCTATCCTGTGAAGGAAAGGAATTGTTTCCTTTGTAATTAGCACCAGTAGCTCCTTCTCTGATAAATAGAGATAAGAAAAGACTTTGAAGCCCCCTCCCCAACCTGTCCCACCCCTCCAACTCCTTTTGCCCTGATTAGCAACCAGGCCAACCAGTTGCTTTTGGATTTGAAAGTGGTGTGTGAGTGAGGCCTGTCAATATCCACAAAACTCCCCACAATGACAAACCAACACACAGCTTTCACCCCCAGGCATACCAAAGGCACCAGGAAAATAGCTGCCCATCCCAAGTCACCAGGTTCTTAAGGGGAAGATGCACAATTTTTGCTGTCCAATCCAGTTTTTCACAATGGTGTGGCTTCCCCCTCATCTAAGAAGGTAGCTCTGAAGGTAATGGCAGCTGGCTATGTTTCTAAGGCCACATTGTCTTCAGCAGTCTGTCCCAGGTGTTGGGCTGTGGAAAACAGAAGATTACAGTGTGAGAAGCCATGGAACTTTGCCATATCTGCATCCTTGGACTCCTTGCCTCTATTCCACATGAACTCCTAGGACAAATAGGCACCTTTCGGACTGGGCTGCTGAGGATGGCTTTAACAGCAAATGGCCAGCTGATTGCTTCTGTCTCCTCTTTCAGTACTATGGTCTGCCTCCCATGCCTACATCTGCCCACCCAGCTACCTAAGTGACCTATGGCTACTTTACCTGTACTGATTCTCCGGGGCTCGGCTTTCTGCTCTCTCTGGAACCCAGGAATAGCTGTCAGCTGCATTCTGGGGCTTCTTCTCCTTTATCTCCTCCTTCTTGGCTCTCCGTTTACGATAAAAGAGCAGCCCTAAGGCCAGAGCCAGCAAGAGTGAGATGGCCACCACCGTTCCCAGGAGGTAAAACAGAAGCAGCTTCTGCCCATCGGTGTCACTGTCACTGTGTGCGGAGACAGAATCTTCAGGTGTCGGCTTGCTGTGGCCAGAGGTGGTGGGGAGGTATGTGTCCAACTCCAACCAGACATCAGATACATCACTAGGGAGTGCTATTTCTAGTGGGACAGAGGCAGTGGGAATATCCGACTGGATGGAGAGACCTGTTGTCTGTGCTCGATTGGAGACATCCTTAGAGCCACTGGGAAAACTGGGCATTTCAGTAGGAGGCACAGTACTCTCCTTTCTGTCACCTTTGTCTTCCTTTTGGGGAGGCCTGACTGGTAACTCTGAAGACACAGTGCCCCTGGTACACGAGACCCCATTGGGAGCCAGCTCCCAGCCTGATGGGCAGCCACACTTGAAGGAACCATCTGTGTTGAAGCACAGGGTATCACATGGACTGCCCCTTGCGTCCGAACACTCATCTATATCCTCACACTGGGTACTGTCTTCCCCAGACACGATATAGCCCTCTTTACAGGAGCAGTAGAAAGAGCCATCAGTGTTAGTGCAGCCCTGGGCACAGGGTGGATAGGCAGCGGCACACTCATCCACATCCTCACAGGCCTCTTCCTTGGGGCCACTGGATTGGTAGCCCACCCAACATTCACAATGGAAGCCCCCTGGAGTGTTGATGCATTCCTGGGCACAGGGGGAGTCCTGGCACTCGTCTATGTCCACACAGTGCACTTGGCTAGAGTCTAGCTGGTAGCCTCTGGGACAATGGCATGTGTAGTTTTCGCTGAGTGGTATAGAATGACACATGCCACCTCCCGTGCATGGGTTTGAGCTGCAGGGGTTCCGGGAGGCACAAGTTACTAGGTCATCCAGCAGCCGAAATCCAGGCCGGCAGCCACAGCGGAAGGAGCCATCCCCACCTTCGAAGCAATCCTGCTGACAGCCCCCATTGTTGAAACTGCAACCAAACTTGGGGCTGACACAGAGAGGGCCTGAGCTGCCCCAGTGGAATATTCCTGGAGTCTTTTCATTGCATAAGAAATAATGGGTCTTATTCTTAGCTTCAACCCCACAAGCTACATTGGCTACAGAGGCAAAAGGAACAGCCTCCAGAGAGGAGGTGGTGGCCTGGAAAGGGGTGGTATAGGTCACCCGCCCGGGACCACCCAGAGCCAGTGGACTGCACATGCCTTTGAAGTTGAACTTGCACAGGTAACCTTCAATGCTGTTACCTGGGGATTCTGGGGTCCCACAGGGGCTCTCATGCCACTTGGGCAGATGGCTGGGGTGAGGTGTCAAGGACAGGTCCAGTATCAGGGACACGCAGCGTTTAGAGATACAGGAGCTCTTGCCCGATTTGTACCAGTTTGAATAAGCTGTGTCCTCTCCACCACCCACCCAGCTGAAGCCTTTCATTGGCAAATCATTGAACGTACACTTGCCCTTCTCTCGCTGGAGCCCGATCCAGAATTTGCCCATCTTCGCTTCCAAGGGTGCCTTGGTCTTCAGAAGCTGAGCCAGAGCTTGCTGGACATGCCGGGCCTCCTCTTCACTCTTCACTGTAGCAAGATTGCCCCCATTCTCATTGCAGCGATGCTGGGCTTCAGCCGCACTCAGCTTGCCCCAGTGGGCTGTGTAACAGGCAGTCCCCTCGCACACCACAGCCTGTGAATCAGCAGCAGCCCCTGCCCAGGGCTGGCCGAGGAGCCCCAGCAGCAGGAACAAACCAGTTGAGGTGGCCATTCTTCTGTTTGTCTCCTTCTGGGAGGGGCTAGACTCCCCTACAGTGACAGCAGCAGCCACTGGAACCTGGAGCTTGGCACCAAGCTGTGCTCTGAGAGGAGCTGAGGACTGCACTGCCGCTGTCACACCACCACAGCTCTGGCATAGAGAAGGTTACAAAGACTCGAAGCTTTTTCACGTCCTCCTGACCCAGGGTGCATCCTGTGGTCCTGTACTTCTTATTTCTCACCGGATGCTGGGGTTTCCTGCCATGAATAGCCTTCTGACTCCTGTTGCCTTCATCACGGTTTTGTTGTTCACAGGGCAGTCTCTGGCTCAGAGCTGTGGAAACACAGAGGATCCAAGAGATACGGCTGCTTCACTTTGAGTACGTTCACTTTCCCATAGCAGAAAGAGGCCCAGTGGCATGCTGTCCAGTGAGCAGAGGCTTTGGGGGCGAGGGACTTGAAAAAGAGCATCCAAGTAACCCATGATAAAATTCCACTTCAAATTGCAAACCACCAGAAGGGAAAGAAAAATATGTGAGGCTTGAGACACAAGGCCGTGGATAGATTATAGTTTCCAGCCTTTTTTAGAAGCAAACTGGATCTGCTTTTTTTTCTATCTTGTACCCTGTCACTGTTTTTGGAGTCTTTTTTCTTTTATTCTTCCCATCGTGAACTTTAAATAGACAGGAAGCTTTTAAATAGGATTTTGGCTGTGGGAATTTCTGGGTTTCCAACAATGTCAATCTCCTTAAGAACATTTTTTTAAAAAAATGGGTGAAAATAGTCACTGTTCAGGGCTTCCTAGTGCACTGTGAAGTGTCAGGGTCCCCAAAAGATCAGAAAGATGGGAAAATGATCCTGACCTGCCATGAGGAAGGAGTTCCATGTTCCCTAACCCAAGGCTTAGGAGGAGTTCAAAGGCACAGGAGCAGAAGCAGAGGCTAGAGTTCAAAATCAAGGTGTAAGAATCAAAGCCAGGGCAGGCATTATACCTCACAGCACCTGGGCCAAGGCCTCTGAATCAAAGTGTTCTTTACCCATAGCCAGCCACGGGACCGTGGAAACTGTGTTTAATTGTCCCTCCCCACCCCATATTCTACTTTGCCCCAGCTAAACTCAAGAGTCTAACACTTTGGAGTGAGAGTTAGATTATGAGATAAAGGAAAGCAGTATCAGAATGAGGCTCCACGTGAGCTAATGAGCCCAGCCTCCCAAGACATGGTAAAAGCCACATTTCTGAGTCCTCCCAGCTAAGGCAGGATTCTGGGCAGATCTTGAGCACTCCTCTATTGCTGGCAGCTGGTTACACCGTTCTCTCACTTGCTCTTGAGGTCACTTTGCAAATTCTAGTCTTGGCCTACCAGACCATGTGCCCCTTCCACAAGCAGGGCTTGACACGGGCAAATGTCCTGATAGGTTATTATTATTATTATTATTATTATTTACTTAGATTGCAATTTCTTCTTCCCAAGATGACCACTGTCTGACTGGCACTAGAGTGTGGTCGTGACATATAGAGGAAGCAACTCAAAAGAACATGCGAAATGAGAGATTTGTGTTACTGCAGAACCCAGTGTTAGTGGGAAGTGAGAAGCTATGGAGACTCTGAAAGGGAGAGGGAGGGGGAGAGAAATAAGGAGAGGGAGGGAGGAAGGAAGGGAGGGAGGGAGGGAGGGAGGGAGGGAGGGAGGGAGGGAGGGAGGGAGAGAGGGAGAGAAGATAGGGAGGGAGAGAGGAGGAGGGAGGGAGGATGAAAAATGGAGAGGGAGAGTGGGTGTAAAGCCTTTATTGGGCTTCAAGATGTTGTCTAGGCAGGTTTTTGGGGTGAGTGCTATCTGGGGTTCAGAAGAAACAGGCATGATTCCCAAGAATTCACTCAAACCTTTTCTCAGGTGTCCATAGAAGTCCATCCACCTTATCAACCCAACCATCCACTTAACTACTCAGCCATCCACTAACCCTTCCTTCTGCTCATTCACCTGCCAGTCTAACAACTTTTCATATTGTATGCCAGGCTAAACACTAAATTACAGGGAGGTATTTTTATCTTCATGATTTCAAAAAGTGACAATTCAGTATTGATTCACTTCATCGAAGGCAACATAAGGCAAAGCATGGAGTGGCAGAAAAGACCGTTATCTGAGTCAGAGCCTGGTATTGGGAGGTGGGAAATACAGGAGGGAGTAAGAAGGGCTGTGGAGTTAGACTCTAAGGCAGTGGTTCTCAACCTTCCTAACGTCATGACCCCTTAATACAGTGCCTCATACTGCAGTAACCCTTAACCATAAAATTATTTTCATTACTACATTTTAACTGTAATTTTACAACTGTTATGAGCTATCATGTAAATATATGACATTCAGGATATATAATATATGGCCCCTGTGAAAGAGTCGCCCAGGCCCCCAAAGGGTTGCAACCACAAGCTAAGAAACACTGCTTTATGGAGTATATAACTAAGAATGAGGTCCATGTGAGAAAGAATATATCCCACGGCCTTGTGGACAAGAGGATGAATGCAGTGAGCTAGAGTCTGAGGCATGAGAGGCAAGATACAGAAGAAGCAAGAGCCCCGTGAGATCAAACGGTTTGGAATCCTCTTTGGAATCCTTTGGGGGAAACTGAAGACACAGCAGAAGGCCATTTTGTAGACAGTGGGAAGTGGTGTTGGGGCTGCTCAGCAACGTGGCTTCTCTGCATCTTGGGCTTCTAGAACCAGGAAAGGATATGGGGCCTGTTCTAGAAAAATCCCAGTCCTAGCAGGTACTTGGAGACTTGGCTTATAGTTCTCTGTTTCTCCTTTGCAGTCTTGCAGAGTACTCTGAGCTTTCTTTCTGAATTGATTTTAAAAGGTATTTCACATCTCACTGGGAGTGGAATGTTCTGGTCTCCCAATTTGGGGACAGTTCAATCTCACTTGGTAGCAGACTAGTTGCTTGGTGGTCATTCCGGCGTCTACTCCCCCCCCTCTCTCCCTCCCCCCCCCCCCCCCTCCCCCCCCCCCCTCCCTCCCCCCTCCTCTCTGTGTGTGTGTGTAGAAATAAACTACATTGCTCTCAGTGTAACACACATCCTCTGTGGTTGTGCACAATGAGCACCTGCTGTGCACTTGGCAGCATTATCACCTACATGGGGGTGAATGGGGGTGAGGGCATGAGCTGCACTGTGTTGTGAGCCTTGTCACAGACAGAATGGAGAAGGAGTAAAAGAATGATGGGAAATGGGGTGGCCTCAGTTACCTCAGCAAGCAGCTGCCTTGGTGATGAAGGACAAGTTTCAAAGGTGAGCCAGAAAGCAGGGTGTCCCTGGGCAGAGGGGTCAGTACATTCCACAGAGCCAGCAGCTAAACACAGGGGAGGTGCAGGCTGAAAACCTAACAGATGCAGGGAAACAGGTGGTGATTCATCAACAGAAAATGTATAACTGACGAAAACAAGGTCTTGTTGTGTTTTATAAAAAAAGAAAGAAAGAACCAGAATGTGTTTGATAGAGACGCAATATGGTTCAGGGGAGGGGTGCCTCTGAGAGCCCATGCTGAGGTATCCCTTCCCCCTGAGTTTATTTAGAGCATGGGGAAGTTGGGAAGGGGGGAGAGAGAGAGAGAGAGAGAGAGAGAGAGAGAGAGAGAGGGAGGAAGAAGAACGAGAAGGAGAAGAGGCGGAGGAGGCAGAGGAGGAGGAGAGGAGAGAGGAGAGGAGAGGATAGGACAGGACAGGACAGAAGAGGACAGGACAGGAGAGGACAGGAGAGGACAGGAGAGGACAGGAGAGGACAGAAGAGGACAGGAGAGGAGGAGAGGTCATGGAAAGAGAGGAGGAGGGGAATGGGGAGAAAGGGGACAGAGAGAGGGAAGAGAATAAGAGAGTGAGAGGGTAAGAGAGTGAGGAGAGGGTAAACAACCCCTTTTATACTGAGTCAGGCATACCTGGCTGTTGCCAGGTAACTGGAGTGGAGCCTAGAAGGAATGCTAACAGGTCTGTCTTATTTAGTGGGCCAACAAGTAAAGGCACTGTTTGACAAGCCTGACGACCTGAGTCTGAGCCCCAGGACCCACATGGTAGAAGGAAAACCGACTCCTATAAGTTGTCCTCTGACCTACCCAAATACACCAGTGGACAAACAAAGAAAGCCAGCTGTCACTAGTTCCAGTAGCCTCCCTAATCACTTGTGAGGAATTTCACTAGAGAGATATACACTGTCCTCCATGCTAGGCGTTTCTTTTCTGGAGAGTTATCCTGTTCTGGGAGGGTAATTTTGAATCTGCAACCTCAAAATGTCAGGGACTTGACAAACTGGCTTCTGAGAGTATCCTTTTTTTTTTTTTTTTGAAAATCTGGTTTCAACTCTTTCCTATAGGAAGCATATAAACACTGTAAAGTAATGAATTTGTGTCTCAGTGTGTCCAGACTTGGAGCCAGTTTTAAAACTACCCTTGGTTCTCAGAGAGTAAGCTTGTACTAGTTGGGGGGTCACTCAGCAGGTATGACGGACAAGCCCCTACGATTCCACATTCTATAGTGGGTTCACAGTGAATGGTAATATCAAAGTGTAAGGGACTATAAGTCCCTGAGTCACTAAGACACCATTATCCCATGGGACTCAAGGAAGTTCATATTTTTCATCGGTAAGTTTAAATACAATCTGTGCAAACAAACTAACAATAGATTAGCACACACACACAGAGATGCACGCATGCACACACACACACACACACACACACACACTAGTACTCAGGAGCCATGAAAAATAATGAAACTCAAAGAAAAGATCATGTGAGACTTACTTAGGTCCTGTCCCTTTTACTTATCTGTATAATTGTGAGGCAGGGTTCCTCCCATGATACAGCCCAGGCTTGCCCCTAACTTTTGACCCTCCTTCCTTAACCTCTGGAGTGCTGAGATTACCATCATATACCACCATACTCAGCATAAATGCCCTTTTCATGGGGCTAGGGCACAGAACATCTAGAGCATCAGTTCACAACCTGTGAGTCTAGAACTTTTTGGGAGTCAAATAACCCTTTCACAGGGATCACATATCAGATATCCTATAATTAAATATTCACATTATGATTTATAACAGTAACAAAATTACAGTTATGAAGTAGCAAGGAAACAATTGTAGGATTGGGGTCACTTGAAGATGAGTAACCATGTTAAAGGGTCTTGGCATTAGGAAGCTTGAGAACCATTGATCTTTAGAATGATCTGAGGGAGATACATGAACCAAACTGGGGCCAAAGTGAGCTTGTCCTTAGGATCTGAACAAGCTCCAGGGACAGATACCAGCTTGGACAACAGGAGCTGTTGCCATTTCTTTCTCATGTTCTAGATGGAGAATTGGAAGCAGCCTCCACTGTCGGGTGGGACTGTGCTTGATGCAGAT